GAGCACAGGGCCGGTGGGAGGAACACGGGCAGGCGGGCGCTTTGCATGGTCCTCAACCCCGGCTCACCCCCTCCTGCCTCGAAAGCGCCGTGTAAACCCGTTGGCTATGATGAGCCGAAGGGAAGGTGGAGATCAGGGCTGGGGTGAGCAGAGAACACCAAAAAGCCTGAGTCTGGAGAGGAAGGTCAGGGTGGGGAAGACTAGTAGGGGTTTCTGTAGTCTGCAGGGGTGTGTCTACACAGCACCCTAAACTCGAAGGGACGCAAATTGCACTATGCAAATCGTGTATCTTATTTCAATATTATTTTGAAATTTGGCACGTCTATAGGGTTGCCAGATGGTTTCAACAAAACTACCAGACGCACTTGACGTTACATCGCAATCTACATTACATCTTATTTAGAAAATACCGGACATTTATAGTTTCTCAATTTGTTTCTGAACTCAAAACTCAAATCCTGGACTGTCCAGTTCCAAACCAGACACCTGGCAACCCTATATGTCTACACAGCACCAAATTTCGAAATAACCCCCTATTTCAAGACATCCCTAAACCCCTGTGGATGTTAAGATGTGGGGTTAAAACGTGGGGTTAAGATGCGCTTGTTAAGAGTGGGGGAGCTATTTCGGAATACCTCCTGTATTCTGAAATAGCCACACAGTGTAGACGTACCCCAGGAGACGAATGGGGGGACAGGTTGATAGTAGCCTTTGCCTACCTAAAGGGGGAAGGATTCCAAAAAGGATAAAGCCAGGCTATTCTGAGTAGTGGCAAATAATAGAACTAGGAGCAATGGTCTCAAGTTGCAGTGGGGGAGGTCTAGGTTGGATATTAAGGAAAACTATTTCACTAGGTGGGTGGTGAAGCACTGGAATGGGTTACCTAGGAAGATGGTGGAATCTCCATCCTTACTGGTTTTTAAGACCAGGCTTGACAATGCCCTGGTTGGTCCTGCATTGAGCGTTTGGATCACTCTTGAGATCACTTCCAACCCTAATCTTCAGTGATTCTGTAAAGCCCTAAGGGACTGGCAGAGTTGGAGTAGTAGCACAGAGCATAGAAAACATCAAAGGACTATCTGCTAATCTAACAACAGGGAAACAATCACAGTTAATTGTCAAAACTTGTGTTAAAAGAAAATTCTGAAAGAAAATATATGGTATTTCTGAAACTGTGGACTCTAAAATTAACTTTTTCCCTGCATCTAGTCAATAGAAAGAGATTATTCAGATTTGTAAATCTGGATGATTTAAGAACTTTTTGCCTGGGAAGAGGAGTTTTGAACGCTGCTTCAATGAATTACTTCTATCCTTCTCTACTTCCTGTGATATGGCAAATGTCCACATCACAGGAAATAACCTAACAGTTTGCACACTTGTGAGTCCCAGCAGCAAGGCTATGAAATAGGTGGGGACTTTGACTGAATTGTTCTCTCACCCAGAGAGGTGGTTCTTTCAGAACTGAGTTGAGCCATGTGGGCATATAGGTAATTGTGCCTTGGATACAAGCTATTTAACTTTGTTACATTCTCTCCAATTATAAGATACAAAAACATAAATATTTAATGGTTCTTTTCTATTGACATCTGCAGCTAGATCTGTACAAAGCAGCATGGTTGAGTGGTTGGAGTAAGGTACCAGAGTTGTGAGAACTAATATCTATTCCAAAGTTTGTCAAAAGCTTGCTCTTTGCCTTTGGGCAAGACATGTAACCTCTCTGTAATGCAGTTACTTCA